TATCTTTCTGTTTTTGGAACACTCCAGTGCCTTGTAAGAAATTACCCTACCCATGTCCCGAAACAGAGGCACGGTGGCCCCTTTCTTTGCTATATGTACAATACATGCAGCTAAGTTGGTGATATACTTACGTATCTCGTAGGCTCAACCGATAGCAAGTTGAAATTTCGTCTGCTAGGCGTTTAGGTGCCAAAGGTTCGAATCTTCCTTTAGATATGAAATATTCTGATGCCACTGCCAGTATTTCCGAGAGTCGCCTTGTGTTTGCTTTCAGCTCCTATCACAATATACTCAAATGCACGTAATGCACTCAATAAATGACTCCTTCGTTACCAGAGAACTATGACGTCACAATTGACAATAGACTCTGTAATGTTTTTCAATCTATCAGGCTTTGTGTTGTTTCATGATTTAACTAGCTATTCGCCCAGTTAGGAAGCATCCTTACTACTTTTTGAAATACAACTAAGACTAAGCTTCGTCTGTAGGTTATATCATATAAAATTAGGCCTATTAGGAATAAAGTGACGACATTGAATTTGATAATGTAAAAAAATTATCGAAGGTCCTTATCACTGCTCTTCCCTAGCGGAATATAATCGGTAATTTGTTACAAGTTGGTAAATGTACAATAACTTGTTATATTAAAGATAAAACTAATAAAAACAACGAAAGTTTGGTCTAATTTTAATTAGACACTGACTCATATACAATCTTCAAATTGATTACTTACAATTTAGTGTGAAGTAGGATATATTATAAAACTATTGGAGAAGAGGACCTCTAGTTTAAAGTTAAATAAAACAGAAAAAAATATGTACAAATTTATTAACATTACTATGTAAAAATAAAACAACAAAAACATTTAACTTTACAACACAATGTAGATGATTGGCGAAGGAGCCAAAACAATGACATTTTCCGATTTAAGGAATATAGTGCATAGCCCGACTTGTCCCTAACCTGATATATGGTTCCCGGGACAGTGCTTTGTCAGACGCGATGTCGTCACAGTGGTTCTCAGAGTGATATGAGGATATAATATCGTTGTTGTGATATCCGTACCACGTCTGAGGAACCACTGTGGCGATATTACGTCTGAGGAAACACCATATTTCAAGCTTTCAACATAACCATAATCGTTTTAAAAAAAAGCCACTGGCTGAACAAATTCGAATAACGTTGCTCACAAAGGCTAAAATTTGTAAAAAAAAAAATTCTGCAATTTAAAAGCTGCACTAAAATTATCAAAGTACATGTTAAAGATTTCATTAAAATCTAAAATAAAAATTTCACGAAAATAAGAGGTATCTATAACTCATTTAAAAAACTAAAACACAGAAAAATTTAAAAGTGGTTTAATGTGACCACAAAATTATTTCATTATTATTTAAAATATAAAAGTTCACGTAAAGATGAGGTATCTAAAACTCATTAAAAAAAATAATAAAAAAACCCAACAACAAAATACACAGATAGTTTTAAAGTGGTAAACATTGCCACAATATTATTTCATGATTGTTTGTTAATATTCTAAATATAGAATTAAGATGAGGTAAGAGCTCACAAACAGATAGTAAAAAGGATAAAGGTAACAAAATCCTTGTTTCCTTAATTGTTTTCTATAAAAAAAATCTTCGACGAATTTCTGAAACAGGCTGCCTTTGATCTTTGTGTTGAGATAGAAATAAGTTATTCTCTTAATTGACGACGGAGAATTTTGCCACTGGGTGATTTTGGAATAACATCAATAAATTCGACACCACCCCGTAATCTTTTGTGTTGAGCAACTTTCTCTGAAAAATATAGTGAGGATTAATCAGAAAATTCGGCAGCATGTCCAAAATGTGTTCAGAAATTAATTGAATACAACTTGCGATAATCTAAATCTACCAACAATAATGAAATTGATAGAGAATTGTATTGAAAACTACTTAGTAATAAAACTGAGCGGTCTTCAATATAAAAAATCATATATTTTCCCTCCGCCGAAAAACTGTACGTTTGTATATCTTTGACGTCTCTATTTGGCTTTTTAATAGCAAAACTTACCTTCTACAAATTTCAAGATGCCATCTTCCTGAACGTCTGTATTGGGTTTCCTGACAATGAAAGCTTTGGGAAGTTCCCCAGTACCAGCATCCTGAACACCGATAACAGCCGCATCTTGGACACTAGGGTGAGTCAGCAGAATAGCTTCGAGTTCAGCTGGTGGTACTTGAAATCCTTTATATTTGATCAACTCTTTGAGTCTGTCCTCTATTACCAGGTTCCCCTCCTCACAGAAGAAACCAATATCACCTACAACAAAGATTAAATTAAATGAATGGAGCATTTACAGCCATTTGATATATCACAATGACAGGCTGCAAATATCTTTGACCTAAGAATAAACAGGCGACTACCAACAGCTGCCTTTGTGTAACGCACTGTGCTAGCTAAACGGACACAACTCTCGCTCTTACAAACACAGGTGCTTAGGTCGAAAA